TTTTTTTTTTTTTTTTCTTTTTGGTATCGGGGATCGAACTTGGGACCTTGTGCTTTCAAGGCAGGTGGTGGAACCACGGAGCTAAGTCCCTGGTCCCTAGGCTGGCTTTTAACTCCAGGCTCAAGGGATCCTCTTTGCCTCTGCCTCCTGAGTATCTATGGTTACAGGTGCCCAGCTACCATATATGCTCTTAGTTATTTTGCTTCCGTGCTCCAGCTCTAGCAGAAGGCAGTGAGTCTTCTCCTCAATCTAGAAAACTAGCTTTCAAGCACCAGAAACCAAGCAAGTCAGCGTTATTTCCTTGTTAAGAGCTTAACAACTTATCCGATACTTGCTGGGCAGTGCCCCCACGTCCAGCCTCTGCTCCCCTAACTCAGCCATTGCCCTTTCCTGGCCCGCCATGCACTTCCTGCCCTGGGCCCTTTGCTGAAGCTGTGTACCCCCTACCACTCGCACTGCCTTGTGTGCTGCTTAGGTCTCATTGCCCAGGAAAGTCTGGACACCTGGCTGGCTTCTCCAGACTCCCAAGCCCACAGATTAACCCATCGAAGCTCATGGGACACCACTGTTCCTTAGCCTGCCCAGCATCTGTCTCCTTGCTCTAGCAAGTGGCCCTCCTTCTCTTTATAGCCACCCCCCCACACACTCCTTGCTGATTTATGCTATGGACTTGGGCCTATGATCCAACTTGGGACAGTGAGATATGGGGAAGGCTCAGGAGCACAAACTTCATCTGTGCTGCTGGACTTGGCGGTAAGAAGTCAATGCTAGGAGCCAGGGTCTCATTTATGGGATGGGCAGACACACTGGGAACGGTGGAGTGGAAGGTCTGAAGTAACCTTGACTCCTGGTGACTCAAGAGGGTTAACATATCCCTGTGCTGTTCTACTCTTGGTTTGCTGTAGAGAGAGAACACAATTTCTCCCTTGTTTAAAGATGCTGATTTTCTCTTTCCTTTTCTTCCCCCGCTGTATTGGGGATGAAATCCAGGGCTCCCTACTACTGAGCTATATCTCCAGCCCTTTTTATTTGGAGACAGGGTCTTCCCACCTTTCTTTGTGCAAGTATTTTTTTGAAATACTGGGGATAGGGCTAGGGATTTAGCTCAGTGGTGCTGCCACCTGCTTTGCAAGCACAAGGACCCGAGTTCAATCCCTGGTGCCGATAAAAAAGAAAGAAAAATTTTTGGGCTGGGGATTTAGCTCAGTGGTTCTACTGCCTGCCTTGCAAGCACAAGGACCCGAGTTCAACCCCCGGTACCAAAAAAATTGGGGCTGGAACACAGTGCCTCTTGTATGCGAGGCAAGTACTTACCACTGAGCTATGCCCAAGCTACGGTAGTTTTAAAAAATTATTTATGAGCAATGGCTACACTCTACACTGAAGAACAAGATCAAGGATGTATGAAAGATGTTGGACAAAGAACACCTGATATCTAGGTTCCCAAGGGTTCCTAGGGAGGTGCTTCAGTTCTCAGCATGGTTTCTGCTTCTGGGAAGTCCCTTCATGGCCCACACAGGCTGTTAGACCTTCCCCCTCCGTGCTTGTTTCCACTCCTGCTCATTTCATACCACAATGAGTTGTGACCAAGGCCCCGGACAGAGAGAGTAGCAGCTCATGAACAGTACCAGATCAATCAGTGAACAAGAGGAAACCAGGCTGGAGAGATATATGACAGCCTGGAGAAGAGGTATGTGGGGAGGAGATAAGGGTGCAGTTTGAACCACAGAAGCCTGTGGGCCTGCTAGGTGGGCAGGGAGCTCTCATGGGTGAGGGTGAATGATCACTCACATTTTATTGGTGCCTCAAAGGACTTGGCCACTGTCACCATAACATTGGTCCCAAATACCTGGAAAGAGAAAAGAGGAGTCTGGAGGGAAATGAGGGGCTGGGTGTGGAAGAAAGGCTCACTGTGGGCTTCTGAAGGAGGGTTCTGGATCTGCAAGGAGCAGGGCAGGAACCTGGGAAGAGCTGAGTTCAGGGGAGGTGGCTACTGATGCTGGCTCTAGGTAACAGAGAGGAACTTCTAAGGGATCCTCAAGGGGAGAAGCCTCCAAGGGCCAGGGGAAAGGTTCTGTGATACTTCAATGTGTGTTAGGTTTCTTAGCCCAAGAATGGTGTGTAGCCAGAACACAGGTGGCCTTTGTCTTAAGTTTAGTGCCCTTGCAGGGCTCCTTCATTAGCATCCTGCCACCTCTTTCTGAATGTCCTTGAGTCTCAACTCGTTTGGTACAGAGACATGGGCCTAAGCAATATCCTGGCCAGGGCCATTCTAAGGAAGACATGAGGATGAGCAAAAGGCCCCAGACACTGAGTGGGCTCTCAGTAAAAAGGAGATTCTGTTCTCTCTAGCAGTTTCACAGATGGGCCCAGACAGGAAGGGGTATAGGAAATTGGGGCACCCAAAACTGGACATCTTGGGTGCCACTTACTCACCCAGAAGACATCATAGACGAAGAGTCCACCCAGCAGGATGCAGCCAGTGCTGACGTTGTTCAGGTGCAGCAGTTCTACCCCGTTTAGGGAGAAAGCCAGGCCAAAGAGGTTGTTGGCAATCCAGTGCTGGTGAAAGGTGGGAATGAGACCTGTATGCTGGGTCCCAACCCCGCCCTGTCATTCCAGTCTTCCTTTTGTTCAGGCCTTGGATACTTACCTTCCTCAGCAGGTACCAGACGCCAACAATGCTGCTTAGGCCCAGGCACACCAGGTCCTTAGTGTCAAACTCATAATTGATGATCTCTGGGCAGAGAGGCCAGGTAAGTCCACTCCCCGGGGCGGGGCTGCCCCTCCCACCTGTCAGCCCCTGGACGGAGGAGGGCATGGCTGTGGGCACTGTCAGTGGCCCACAGGTCTAGGGGTTCAGCCTGTGCTGCCTCAGACAGATGGGAGTATGAGGACAGAAGGAGCTCACTGGAGTCACCCCCCAACCCCTCCAACTTTCTAGAGCAGGAAACAGGTCTAGAGAAAATACAGGCTCAGTGGGAGATGGCCCTTAGTGTTGGAAGCATAGGCTCAGCCACTTGAGGCTGGGTGACCTTGGGGGAGGCAGTTTCCTCTCTGAGCTTGTTTTCTCCTGTATAAAAATGGCAACAGTACCTCCCTCACAGGGCTATGGAGGGAGGGAGACGGTCTTTATGATGCAAGCGGCACAATGCCTGCAGTGCTCAATGAATGTCAGCATCCAGAGCTCAGATCTTTAGCAAGCTCCTAGTTCACTGCAGTCTTTCTCCTTTGTCACCACAGGAATCAAGAAGGTTGCTAGCAACTCTAGTTCACTAGCAGAAGGTAAGAAATGGAGGCCTGGGGAAAAGGCAGGAGGGAGCCCCAGAGACCGCTTTTATGGGAACCCTCTGGCTGTCATCCTGTCAGACCCATTCTCCACTGTTTCCAAGCTCTCTGATAAAGGAAGGTCAGAAAGGTTGCTTGGCTAGGGTTAGAGTCCAGTCATTCCTTTCAGATTCCAGTGCAGCACACTGCTGCTTATGTCCCAGTTTCTGTCCTGTCCTCTGTGGTAAAAGCACTCTGGTTTAAAGTTGTTTTTGTTTATTTGGTACTGGGAACAGAACTCAGGGCCTCAAACTTGCCAGGCAGGCACCGCACAACTGAGCTACATCCCCAGCTGGTTTAAACTTTTTAAAAGGGATTGGGCCGGGGATTTAGCTCAGTGGTTCTACCACCTGCCTCACAAGCACAAGGTCCTGAGTTTGATCCCCTATACCAAAAAACAAAACAAAACAAAACAAAAAAAAAAACAAAACTATTAATTCGGCATAAACAGTGCCATCATGCTATCACACAAAGAAACAAACACGTAACACAATATTCCTATTTAGCCTCAGTGTATTTGTCTCATTTATATGTCTTCATATGCCACAGTCCATCATTTAAATAATGGATATTTTCAATGCCGATTCCTTTATTAATTTTCCCAATGTCTTCTCCAGACATCTTCATGACTCCAATGCACAGAGCATGCTGTTTTCCTTCTGCCATGACTGCAACAATAGAATCTACTGCGGCAGGGTAAAGCTTGGCTCCTGGAGAAGTTAAACCTGGACACATGATATTTGCACCACTGAGAACAAATTTGATGGCTCCTTTATCAACTTGCTGATGTGGCAGGATAAAAGGGTATTTGTGAAGTAACCTTAGGGTTGGATAAAAAGGCCCTTTTCTTTGTGCAAAAAATACTAATTCTCCATTTACCGCAAGGATTTCTGTATGTTCATAGCATCGGACTATTTTGACAGGATCTTTCTTAGGTATGATTTGATTAAGCCATGGCTCAATATCTGGAAACTGCTCTACCAGTTGGTTCTTAACACCCTTTATAACTGAAGTTTTCAACTGGATGCAGCTGGACACATTTTCCTTTTCGTCAAATTTCTTGAACATGATACAAGGTGAAGCCAGGGCCAACAGGGAAAAGTTGAATCGGCAAAGGTCCAATATTTCTGAGCATGAGGAAGGTCAACACCAACAGACGCAACCCTTCTCGTCAACTGAAAGACGCAAAAATCGGAAGCCAGCTGCGTTTTACGGCTAGGCGAAAACAGACTTCCGCTCTCCTGAACCCACGTGGGTGGGTGCTCGGCCAGCTCTTCTACTGACTTCCGGTTCCTCTCCCATGGGGGAGAGGGTGGGGTGTGGACAGGAAAAGACTGTAAGGGCCCACCGTAAGATTACTGGCTGGAATAGACGAATTTGCTCACGGCTATGTTTTCCAGTTACCCTTGTAGCTAAATGAGTCCATGACAGAAATACCTCTCTTCTCTGGTCGGGCTGTGGTGTGATGGCTGCCATCCTGCGAGGGCCACCCCCAGTATGGTTAAAGCTCAAGATAGATAGGGCCTGAGACCCTGAAGACTACGGTGCAAGTTTAGCCTTATTTTATTTTTTAAAATTTAGCCTTATTTATTTATTTTTGGTACTGGAGATTGAACTCAGGACCCTGCACTTTCGAGGCATGTGGCGGAACCTTTGCGCTAAATCCCTGGCCCTAATTTAGCCTTATCTTAAACAATCATTTATTTTGGCACAGGTGGACTAGAGATGCAGAGAAAAGTTATAAAATGGGTGATTTGTGGGGAGAAAGCAGACTGTGGTGGGCACCAGTAAGAAAGATGCATTCTACAAGCCTAGAATTAATTAATTAATTAATTAATTAATTAATTAATGTATTGTCAGGGTCCCCCTATGTAGTGCACTATACCACAAGCTGGCCTCAAAGTTCTCCTGCATCAGCCTCCTCAGTGCTGGGATTATAGGTATGTGCCACTCCACTCCACTAGAAGTTTACATTAAGAGAAATACTTTCTATTTGGTGAAGCCATTAATAATCTTGGAACTGTATTTGAATCTATATGCTGTAACTGTACACTCTAGGCTCCATTCAGATTCTCATAGTTTTCATTAAAAAGGGGGGGGATTCGCTTTTTCAAATCTTAAGTGGGAGAATAATCACACTAAAAATGAAACATGCTAAAAGCCTCATTAATAGCAGACTTGCTTATATGAGTCAAGTAGTATGCTGAATACTTTCCAATTGTTTACTCCCAGCCCTAATAACTGTGCTTATGAAGGAGATACTAGATTATCATTTTCATTTTACAGATGGTACTCCCTCAAAGAAAAACAAAAACAGAACAAAACAAAACAAAAAACACCACTAATGCTCAGAGAGGTAAGGCATTCACCCAGAGTCTGTGTCTAGGTTGTGGCAGAGATGGGATATGAACCTGGCTGTGATATTCTACAGCCCATCTTTTCCATCACTTATTCTATGGGAGAACCTACTACTGGAAAGACAAAGGGGAGTGGTAGGGAAAACGCCCTAGACACAACATGGAAAGTGGGCAGCACTGACCTTCTTTGTTTTCCCCAGAGCCCTGAGTGAAGAGCAGCTGATACTGTCGATTTGGAAAGTTCACTGGGAAAAATTTATTCATGAAGGGGCTAGAAAAAAAGACAAAGCAGGTTGGCAAACAGAGCCCCCAAGGCCAATTACAGCTCTAACAACCCCAGCAATGCCCGTTTGCAGCTGTTATCTTCTGGCACTCTTAACAGCTACCCCAGTAAGTTTTACTGTTCCCAGTCTAGAGGTGTGGAAAGAGAGATCCTTAGAGGGTAAGTGACTTGCCCAGGGTCACACAAGGTGCCAGTATCTGAACTGAGATTCAAACCTAGGTCTCTGGACTCCGACTGATTTCATACTGCCTCTGTGTTCCTATCAAAGAAATGCAAAGCGGAAGCAGACACTGGTGATAAAACAGTTTTGGGGAGTCAGGAATTCCCAAGTCTGGCCCATGTACCACCTGAATGAATCCCTTGTGAAGAAGCAATTCCTGGACTCCTTTCCAGACTTATCAAATCAGGCAAACAGACAGTCACCCTTACCCAACTCCATGAGTTCCAGTGACAAGTATGGGATTTTACAAGTACAGCTTGGAATCGGTCAGCCAGATGAATCTCAGCCCTGAAGGAAGGATCATCCTCACATTCACACCTTGCGTGAAGCCTCTGTTGTTCAGAACTGGTTGGCTCCATCTCTAGAAGCATTCTTTCTGGTTATACAGCACCCCCCACTTCCAGGCCAGGCAAGGAACAGAGATATTCTTCAGAACAAGATTAGCAAACCAAGGCATCTTGGTCCATCCTGGTGGTGGTGGTGGGGGCAGTACTATGGAGCAGCTACCAGCCCCAGCAGCCCAAAGCTGAAACCTGGCTTTGCCACATATCAACTGTATAGGCCTGGGACAGCCACTTCAGTGGCAAAGTCTCCCTGGGCTTCAGTCTCACCTGTATGTAGGGATTAACACCACCACCTGTCTCAAAGGGTTGTGTGAAGATATGAAAGCAGGCAGGCAAGATGCGTAGCCTAGCACTGAGCCTGCAGAAGGAGCACTAAAAAACTGTGGGTTTCTGTCATGGTGCATTCCTTTACAGCCTCGACTCAAAATCATGTGATGACATCAGTGAGGTATGAGTGCAGAGACAGTGAAACAGGCATAGTCTCTTCCCTTCCCCATAACCTGACCTGTCTACTGAGGGGCTCAGGAAAATGGCAGCAGAGTGGGTCGGGCAGTTGGGACTGGGGGGACCTATGAGAATTCAGACTTGGGCCAGGGATTTGGCTCAGTGGTACTGCCACTTGTCTTGCAAGTGCAAGGACCCAAGTTCGATCCTCAGTACCAAAAAACAAACAAAAAACCAAAAAAGAATTCAGCCTGGGCTGACCTGGCTTAGAGCTCTACCAACTCTCTGGAGACAGCAGATCCCACCCTCCTCTGAGGTGCGTCCCCACACTCCCCAAATGGAAGGAACACTGGCTTTGGAGTCAGATCTTCAGGTTCAAGACCTCACTCTGCCCCATAACAGCTATAAATCCTGGTAGTCACATAACCCATCTGAGCCTCAGTGTCTCTGTCTCAAATTCCTGAGGAAGGTTGGCCTCTAAATTTGTAGCTATGAACAGCTCACTGAAATTTTTTTTTTTGTACCGGGGATTGAACTCAGGTCCTGGTGCTTGTGAGTCTGGCAGCGGAACCACCGAGCTAAATCCCGGGCCCTTGCTCATTGACATTTATTTTGTTTGTTTTTGTTTTTTGGTACTGGGGATTGAACTCAGGACCTTGCGCTTGTGAGGCAGGCAGTGGAACCACTGAGCTAAATCCCCAGCCCACTCACTGAAATATTAATGATATGTTCATTGAGACTATTTTAGAAAACTCATTTTATTTATATTTTGGGGGGGCATTTGAGACAGGGTCTCACTACGTAGTTGAGACTGACCTGAACTCACAACTCACAGCGATCCTCCTGCCTCAGCCTCCCAAGTGCTGGGATTACAGGCGTGCGCCACCATGTCTGGCTAGAAAACTCAGTTTAATTGAAGGAGAGTCAGCTGGGCATGGTGGCGCACGCCCGTAATCCTAGCACTCGGGAGACTGAGGCCAGAGTACTGCTGTGAGTTCGCGGCCAATCTGGGCTACATAGTGAGACCCTGTCTCAAAAGGCCAAGGGGGAAAAAAAAAGTCAATTTAACTTTTCAATCAGCTCTCTAAAAACATGATTAATTATCCTCCTTTAGGGCCAGGGATTTAGCTCAGTGGTTCTGCCGCTTGCCTCACAAGCACAAGGTCCTGAGTTCAATCCCTGGTACAAAAAACAAAACAAAACCTTTACCAATCTAATAATAATTATTATTATTCTAGTTTTTAAACTTTTTTTCCCCAGTACTGGGGATCAAACTGAGGACCTTGTGCTTGCGAGGCACGGTGCCACTAAGCTAAATCCCCAGCCTGTTATTTGAGGGCCTCAGTCTCCTGAGTGCTGGGATTACAGGCGTGCACCACCATCCCTGGTTACTAAAATTAATTCAGTTCTTTTCGATGTAAATTTTACAACTATTTCATTCATCTGACAGTTTTTGGTCCCCATCTTATTTTTCAGTGGACAGCTTTGACCCCAAATGGTTTGACCACATGGTCATCCTTCTACCTACAGCCAACTTTTATATTTAGAAGGTCTGATCTTCCTAGGTCAAATTCTATTGCTCTAAATTTTATTAAGAAAATGAAAACTGTTCGTTCCTAGTGATTGACAAGTTTTATCATGTACTGTTTTAGCTGCTGTTGGTTTTCTTTCCTATTTCTGGAGTGCTGGGGATTGAACCCAGGACCTAATGCTTGCTAAGCATGTTCTTTAACATTGATCTGTATCCATCCTCAGCCCACTAGTTTTCTTTTCTTTTCGAGACAAGGTCTTACTATGTACTTCAGGCTGGCCTCAAACTGCCAGTGATCCTCCTGCCTCAGCCTCTTAAGTGCTGGGAAAACAGGTGTGCAACACCGCGCCTGGCTTTAGTTTTATTTTCTGTTGATAATATTTATAAATGTCTTCTATGAATTGAAGATAGAAGAGTAACTGTTTCTTGGCTAATCTATGGGAAATCTGGGACAACGTCCATCAGCTATTCTAAATAGAAAAAAAATCTTTGGTGTTAAAATAATAGAAGTTTAAAACTCCCTCTATCAGGCAGTTGGAAGGAGATAAAATACCCCCCCCCCAAAGGGTCTTCCTACGTAGTTCAGGCTAGCCCTGAACTCACTATGTAGCCCAGGCTGACCTCAAACTTTTGGCAATCCTCCTGCCTCAGCCCCCTGAGCGCTGGGATCATAGGTGTGCACATCTGGTTTAAGACATCTCTCTTGCAAGGTCTTTGAGATAAAGTGAAATAATCATTCTTCAGCACATGGCCTACCAATGGCTTTCAAAACACAGTGGATTCTTGTGCTTGCTTCGATAGCACACATATAAAATACAATGGATTTTTGCTATGGTAAGGCTGGGCTATGGGGATGGGGCTCACAAATGTGGGGTGGGACAGGCTAGACTTTGGGAAAATTCTTATCAGCTTGGGAAGGGAGGGAAGCCAGCGCCGTAAGCGACTGTGTCCTAGTCCTGCCCAGTTGCTCACAAATGCAGGGGGCTGGGAGGACGGGGGACAGGGGATGGATGGGACCTAGTGCCAATGTTCTCCCCTGGTGGCCAGAATAAGAATTTGTGGGTTAAGGGTCAGTGCAGGTAAAGGCAACACTGAATTCCACCCATATCCCACAGCTGGGGCCCAGCTCTTTCACCCTGGGCTGAAGTTACCACCCACGTGTGCCCTGTGCTCTAGGCTTGCTGCAGACAGCGGCTTGGCTTATCTTCCCCACACCGCTGTGAGGAGATTCTGCAGTCTTTCCATTTTATAGATGGAAAAGCTGATATTCAGAGAGCTGGAGTAACTGATGCAGATTACAAAGCTGCAGAGCAATGTAGGCCTTGTCCCTGGGCCGCCTCTCAAGCTATTGTCCTGCCAGCATGCCTAAGGAACGAGGCCACACTCAACCTTGCTATTTGCTGCCTCTGGAGGGGCAGATCCTGCTCTTTCTCCCTAGCTGTTTGGCAGCTCTGGGAAGATCTCAACAATGACCTGCACAAGGCTCTTCCAGTTCCTGACCTGGTCTTGCTCTCTTCTGCACCTCTTCCCAGCTTCCCATCCTTCAGAGCTGAACTCAAATCCAGTCCTTTCTTCTGGTAACTTCCTGCTCTACTGGTCACCTCTTAGTCTATCAATGGCTCTCAGCCTGAGGTGGTACTATCACAAAGGGGCAGACACAAACATGCTGGATATCTTTGCAGGCACAAGCTGGGGGTATATCTCCCATGTGGAACTGGGAAAATGCCAGGTGTTGGCTGTGCATAGGATCACAGGATAGCCCTAGCAGTTCAGGATGCCAATGGCAGCCCCATCCCAAGGAACAGTGGTTTCAATCATGCATTCCCACTAAGCTAACATGATTGTGTGGGGATCTGAGCAGGATGGCAGTGGGAAGAAAGGCTCTGGCGTCACAAAGACCTGCGTTTGAATCCTGGCTCTGCTGCTTATCAGGTGTGTGATCCAAGCAAAATTTTTTAACCTCTCTGAGCTTGTTTTCCTGGATTGAAAGCAAAAGCTAACTATATGAGGTTGCCTGGCAGGTTAACACAGATAACACTACTACTACTAACAAGGTTAACAACTACTGAATACAAGAAGTATGAGACACCAGGCTAAAAACTTTCAACACATCCTCATGAGGAAAATACTACTATTTTTCTCCATGTTTGCGAAGAAATTGAGACCAGAGATTAAGTAACTTGCCCAAAGTCATGAGCTATTAAGTGGCAGTATGGATTCAGTCAGGTAGTCAAATTCCAAAGTGCACACTCCTAGCATCTTCCTCCAGGGTTTCTCATGAAAAAGAAAGTGTACGAGGGCCGAGCTGAGCGCCTGGCAGGCTACAGCGCCTGGCAGGTGGCACTGGACTACTCATCCCAGCGCTGTGACAATTACTAACATTACTGTTCACAAACAACACTCCCAACAACAGTGATGGTAGGAAATAACCGCTGGATATTCTTATCAGTTCCAGGAAGGAAACTGTGGCCCTGAGAGGTTACGGTTCTCATCCTAGGTCACTTATGCTATGACACAAGGAAAAAATTCCTTTGCATTTTACAGCCAGGATTCAAAACTAGCTCTGAATGATGCCAAAGGTAATGTTCACAGCCAAAACCCCGTACTGGCTCCTGAGAAAGCTGCTTCAAGTGCTGCAGAGAGATGCCTTCTGACCTGATGGTGTGGGACAGGGCCAGGATTCCCAGTACGAAGAAATACATGGACAGCAAGAGGTTGATGTACTCCTGGGAGAATATCTGAGGCAGAAAGACAAAAGGAAACAGGAAGTCAGGATTGCTAGTGGCCATGCTGAAATGTCCTTGCTGCTCTTCTGGAGGTGGGTCTCACTTTTTGTTAGGGGACAGTGGAGAAGAATCTCAGGGGCCTTCTATTTACAGCTGTGGGAACTTCAAGTTCCCAGATGTACCTCCCAGGGGTGTCTGGAGGTGTATTCATGGAACTCTGTTTTCTAGAGACAGGCAATTAGGTTTGTGCCCAGAATCATGCATGGTCCATAGGGGATTAGGGAGTCTGAAGTGCAAGACCCAAGACAGCTGGCAGAACCTTAGAATTTGCTCTCCCACATTTCCTTCTTCTCCAAAGATCTGCAGAGCCCTAGAGAGCACTCAGCAAGGCCCAAGCATGCTAGCTACAAGGTATCTGGGTACCCCCTCCATCCTCCACATCAGCTCTGATGCCTCCTCCCCCTCCTGAAGACAGTGGGAAGTCAGGACAGCAGGCCCTGACAGCCACTTGCTGCTTCCTGGCCTTATTACTGTCAGATAAAACCATGAAATGTTCCCCATCACAATGCTCCAAAGCCATTGTCACTACTCACTTTGTAGTCCAGGCTGGCCTTAAACTCATGGCAATCCTCTCCTGCCTCAGCCTCCCAAGTGCTGGGCTTAGAGGTGTGTGCCAGCACATCTAGCTCACATCTTAATTCTAGACCTTGGGAATGCCATATTATATCCTTTCAATTTGCTGTATGTACTCTGCTGGATTTGCTACAGTGATGGTCTCTAACGGGGAGGGAAGAAGTGCTGCTGTGTAGGGTGCAGGGATAGTGTCTGCCTGCAAATGTTTCATTTTGAGTCTGATCAGACTGGTGCCCCGCCTAGAGCCTTGCGATGGCTTCTCTCTGCTCCCATGAGCTGAAGGCCCACACTCCTCTGCCTCGCTCACACTGCTTGCTTTCTCTAGGCTGTATCCTCTCTGGCCTTTCATGGTGCCTGGTCTGGGCTACCTGGGCTGTACCCTCCTGCTTCATCTAGGCCCCTGTACTCATCTTCCTGAGCTCTTTGGTGGTTTCCTTAAACACCCCTACCTGAGGCATTCAGCAGATAATTTCCAATTGTTCACTATGTGCAGGACATTGTGCTAATCACCAGGGGAATGAAGCAAAGGCTCTGCCCTCAGGATTTATGTACCAGGGAGGGAGAAGAAATGGGACATAATGTATTGCCAGGTGGTAAAGGGGGCTCATAAGAGCAGAGTGGGGCAGAGTCAGAGAGGGAGGGGGGAGAGCTATTATTGCAGACAGGCACAGAGGCCTCTGGAAGGGAGGGGCCCTGGAGCAGAACCCTAAACCAAGGTAGGAAGTGGACTGTGGAGAGACTCAGAAAGAACATCTGAGGCAGAAGGAACAGCAAGTACAAAGGTCCTGAGGTGGGTGTTTGTGTGTTTAGACAACAGTGAGGGTCTGTAAGTCTGGAGCAGAGGAAGCAAGAGAGGAGTGTTAGAAGAGGCTGGGGAACAAGACCCTGAAGTGCTACAAAAGACTTTGGGTTCACCTGGTAGGCACGCCAGCACTGGAGGGAGGACAGGGCTGTGACATGATCTGATGGTCTGCAAGCACCCCTCTGCTGCTGTACAGAAGAACCTACGGTGCAAGAGCAGAAGCAGAGTACCCAGTGCGAAGGGCACTGCGCAGACCAGTAGGGCATGGTGCCCTGGATGGGGGAGGTAGGAAGTGGTGGGCAGCAGGAAGACTCCTGATCTGTTCTGAACAGGAATGCAGGGTGCACTGAAGGCTCAAAGAGCAGGACAGGAGGACTCAATGAGCAGGTAGGTAGTAGGTAGAGGTGCTGCTGAGATGGGGGCTTAGGCAGGAGGGTGTTCCCCTCGGCTGATTCTTCTTTCCTGGCACTATAGACCTTGCCTGCATCCCTTCTTAGAGCTGAACTTCACCTTTATCTATGTAATTGTGGCTGTCTCCAGCACTGAACAAGATGCTCCCCAAGTGCAGGGGCACTCGCTGTTTTTCTCTCTAGTGCCCCCACCTCAGGACCCAGGTAGTGGGCACTCAATAAATGCAGAATGAACGCATGAGCAAATCAGTGCTTGATTACATGTGTGCTACAAGAAAGGTTTATGAATACTTTGTAGGCACAGGGATGTATTCTTCTTGTGGAGATCTGCCGTGCCTGTCACCCCTGGGCAGAAAACCCCTCAGACCACACCTGTGGGCTCTGGGTGCTGACTATGTGGATGTATGAAGTGAGCACCAGTCCCACTGTCCTTAGTGCTTTGGTATCTAGAAAGTCAGGGCAACAGTTATGGCTCATTTCTAGAGAGAATACAAGTCTTTTTTTTTTTTTCCTCCTAGTACTGGGGATCAAACTCAGGACCTTGTGCTTGTGAGGTAGGTAGGGTGTCTCTGAGCTAAATCCCCAGCCTGAGAATACAGGTCTGTAGACCACTGGTGTGAAGTCCTCACCCAAGGCTTGCTTTTATTTTCTGCACTTAGGAGATCCTCCTGCCTCAGTCTATCGAGTGATGGGACTATAAGTGTGTGCCACTATGCCTGACTTATTTTATCCTACTTAAAATTTCTTTTTCACTCTAATTTCTCCCTTTTTCTTATAACATTAGTGTAATTTTTTTTTTAAATTTTATTTTATTTATTTATTTTTGGTACCGGGGATTGAACTCGGGTCCTTGAGCTTGCAAGGCAGGCCACTGAACCGCTGAGCTAAATCCCCAGCTAGTGTAATTTTTTTTAAGTTGCTCCAAAGTGATCAGTTTTAAATGAGGTGAGATAAAGGCCATGAAGTTGAGTTTTGTAAATTTTTAAAGCTCTAGGGCTGGGGATGTAGCTCAGTAGTGCTATGTCTATCTGGCAAGTGCAGGGTCCTCAGCTGATCCCCGATTGGTGGGGGGAGGCGAGCTGGGCGTGGTGATGCAGGCTTATAATCCCAGCACTGGGGAGGCTGAGGCTGAAGGATTGCTGTGAATTCCAAGTCAGCCTGGGCTACATAGTGAGTTCAAAGCCAGCCTGAATTATCTAGCAAGATCCTGTCTCAAAAAGGAAAAAAATAAAGCTCTGTATGTTTTTGATGCCTCACCCCCTCAATAGGCTATGACCACCCAGCCCAGCTGAGGAGGTGTGTTAAGGCTGACCCCTGCTGTAAGTTCCCCTTCTTGCCCTTTCTCCACAGGATCCAGTGACATTAAACAAACCAGTGAAATCCACTCCTGACTTTTTGCCTTGTTGCCTGTGTTCTCCACACTGACCCCAGTGCAGCACCTGCTGAGGGGTCTACCCTCCCAGCTGCTTGGCTGAACCTGCTTCCTGGGAGCACCTTCGTGTGCTTCCTGTGGGCTGCCTGTAACTATAATAAACTGCATGTTCACTTGTCTCAGAGCGTGTGAGCTCCTTGGCTGTGTTGCAATGTTTAAAGCTTCCATATTTACAATAGAACTGGTAATGAGGATAAGATCACTCTATTTTAGGCAGAAAGTCGAGAGTCAGAGATTAGCTCAGTGGTGTGACGAGTGCAAGGTCCTGAGTTCAATCCCTGGTACCAAAAAAAAAAAAAAAAAAAAAAAAAAAAGTAACAAAAAAAAAAAAAAAAAAAAAAAAAATTCCCTCCGAAAGGCAAATGAACTTATACTCACAGGTTTGGGAGGAGGACCTGCGGCAAGTGCCTATATTGGGGCCACATGCAGTACACAAACACAAAACTGTTATGCTGGAACTTCATTAAGTCAGAGGAAGGAGGGGAGGGGGTTGTAGCAGCAACCAGCCTTACCACATTGGTGCACCTAGGTGCCTGGGAAGGATGTTTAGAGCCATCTATAGGGATGCTAAGGCATCAGAAAAATACGAACTTTTAAAAATGTACCAATCAGTTATAAACTCCAGTACCCCCAGCCAGGAAGAGGAGAGCACAGGGGCTGAGTAAGAGCCACTGTGGTCAGCCCTTTACTGTTAAGCAAACCAGTCAACCAGCTGTCAGGCTGAGGTGCTGGAGGAGCCTGGTAGCTGTGCTGTCCACAGCTGCCTTTCGGAAATCTCAGGGCCGTCACTGAGGCACAGGGAAGAGGTATATACGGTGCTTCTGGCACAAGGCAGGCCGGGGCTCACCTGCCCAGAAAGGACAGGCCAGGTGACAGGAAGCCAGTCCTTTCAAAAAAGCTTCACACCAGGGCTGGGGATTTAGCTCACTGGCGCTGTGCCTGTCTTGAAAGCACAGGGTCCTGAGTTTGATATCCAGTACAGAGAAAAAACCAAGACCAAAAAACCTAAAAAAAGCTTCACACCTTCTGCTGCTAGAAATTCCATTTTTCGGTCACCTGGTCTGAGGATAGAATCCTAAGTACTGAAAACATCAAACTGTCTTGAGGCAAGAGACTGGATGTATATTTATTAGCACAACAGACTTGGGAAATATTCACCACCAACAAAGTCAAAAGCAATGGGCTAGCAGTGCAGAGCCTTGGAGAGATCTCAACAGTACAGCGGACAGGAAAAGGAAGCAGAGGGAGCTGCCGCCGCCGCCAAACTCAGGCACACACAGACAGACACACCAACTCCGTCAGAGCAGGATGGAGGTGGGCAATGGAGATAGAAGGGGTCTGAGGATGGTATGCTGTGAACCGAGGCACTGGGTGAGTTCAGCTGTTCACTGGAGACTGGGAAAAACAGTAAATATCCAATGCTATTTTGTGCATTCTTATTTTTAAGAGTGAAAACCAGGATAATATTTTCTGTTTAGTGTGAACTGGGTGTGGAGGATGCCTGTAGTCCCGGCACTTGGGAGGCTGAGGTAGGAGGATCACTGTGAGTTATACTCAGCTACATAGTAGGTTCAAGGCCAGCCTGAATTGCACAGCAACTAACCAAACAAAAAGGTGAGGGGAATGCTGTGAGTCCAATGTGATGCATCTGCTGGTGGGAATATTCTGAAGCTACTCAAGAATATTTACGATCCAACAATGAGGGAGCAATGCAATAGGAAATGGACATTAAAAATTATGTTTCGGCTTCAAAGATTGGTGAAAACTAATTTTGTTGCAGCCAATGTAGTTGAGAATATGTGGGAGCCAGTACACTCGCAGGGGTCAGTGAGAATGTAAAGCGGTATAATCTTTTTGAAGGGTAATTTGGCACTCTGATTACAAACTGAGACTGTTTGACAGGGTAGGCTGCTGCAGACACACTTGAAGAAAATATGTATCCCTTTGCTAAGACATAGCACAAAGATGTTCACGGCAGTGCTGCTACGGCATACCACATCAGACATACCTAACACCCTCAGCATGAGCAGCTTTTTTTTTTTTCCTAGAGACACGGTCTTGCTATGTAATTCAGGCTGACCTTGAACTTACTATGTAGCCCAGGATGGCCTTGAACTCTCAGTAATCCTCCTGCCTCAGCCTCCTGAATGCTGGGATTACAGACATGGGCCACCACACTAGGCAACAAGAGCAGCTTTTAAAAAGCTATTTACATGGGGCTGGGATGTAGCTCAGTGGTTCTGCCGCTTGCTTTGCAAGTACAAGGGGAGTTTGATCCCTGTTACCAAAAAAAAAAAAAAAAAAGCTATTTACATAGTTATATGAATTTGACTGTGCTGATACAAAAATATCTCCATGGTTAAGAGATATAGGTTTGGTACAAATTTTTTTTTTGAGACAGGGTCTCAAAATATAGTTCAAAGTGGCTTTGAACTCATGATTCTCCTGCATCAGCTTCTTAAGTGCTGAGATTACAGATGTGTGTCACCAAACCTGGCTTAAAAATTTTTTAGACATAAATCTAGATGACAAATTATATATTCATAAGAAAACATATTGTAGAGAGGACTAAGGCTCACTGGTACCTTTCCTTAAACTGAAAAACTCCCAGACTTGAAAAAAAATTTAAACCAAGTACATGTAATTTTAAAATTTAATTAAAGTTATCTTTGAGTCATCTGCAATGACCAGGAAAAGAATGCTTGTGATGTATTACTAAAAAAGGAACAAAACAAAACAACAGGGCTGGTGGTATAGCACTTGCTTAACTTGTCTGAGGTCCTTGATTAGATTTCTAGTACGTACAACCAACCAACAACAAAAATTAAAATTACAATACTGTATTTATAATATAATGCTAAGTATGTTAAAAATACACTATAGGGCTGGGGATTTAGCTCAGTGGTTTTGCTACCTGGTCTGCAAGCTCAAGGTCCCCAGTTCAATCCCTGGTACCAAAAACAACAACAAAAAACGTTAGGCTGGGCTTGGTGGCACACACCTGTAATCCCAGTACTTGGGAGGCTCAGGCAGGAGATTCATTGTAAGTTTGAGGCCAGCATGGGCTACATAGTGAATTCAAGGCCAGGCTGGACTAAATAGCGAGACCCTGTCTCCACAAAAAGCTTATTGCTAGGTATGGTGTAGTAATGCACACCTGTAATCCTATCCCAAGGCAGGAAGACTCCAAATTTAAGCCTGGGCAACTTAGTGACAAGTTGCCTGGGCAAGATCATGTCTTAAATAGAAAATACAAAAGGGCTTGTGATGTATTCAGTGTGAAGACCCTGGGTTCAATCCCCAGCAAAACAAAAACCAAAAACATAACAAATCTTATTGAGGGGGGCAGGGATGTAACTCAGTGGCAAAGCACTTGTCCAGCTTACATGAGACCCTGCATTCCATCCCCAGCACTGCAAAAGGAAAATAAATAAAAAACCTTATTCTGGGCCTGGGATTTGGCTCAGTGGTTCTGCCACCTGCCTCAAAAGCACAAAGGCCCAAGTTCAATCCCTGGTACTAAAAAACAACAACAAAAAACAAACCCTTACTTCAAACCTGAGAAAAGACATGGCAAATGGTTAGTAGTGATGACTTATGTGTTGTGGTGTTCTTTCTTCATACTTTTTTTTTTTTTTTTTGGTTTTTTGAGACAGGGCCTCACTATGCAGTTGAGACTGACCTGGAACTCACTATGTAGTCCAGGCTGGTCTTGAACTCACAGCAATCCTCCTGTCTCAGCCTTCCGAGTGCTGGGATTACAGGTGTGTGCCACCATGCTTGGCAAAATTTTTTTTCATATTCTTTTTTTTTTTGTTTCTTTCTTAACGTATTTTTTGGTATAATATACATGCTTTCTGTATATATCATTTATATAACCAGATAATAGTGAAGTTATACTTTAAGAATCAGAAAGGTTAATAGAGTATTTGCAGTAACGTGAGAAAATGCTCATGATGTCATTAAGGTGAGAAAGCAGTCACAGAGCAAGGACACCACGTGGCCACAGCCATGGAGAAACCATGCACCGACACCGCGAAGGACACACCTCCAAAGGGAATCTGTGACTGTCTCTGGAAGTGGGGTTTTGGATGATTGCTGTTTTCCCTTTTTTAATTTTCTGTGTTTTCCAGGTTTTCAACATTGAGCCTGTAAAACTTTTATTGGGAAAATAAACCTTGATAAAATTAAACAAAAAAAAAAAATGATTAGTATGGTAGAAGCATATCTGACACATAAGCTACACCCCAGCCCAACATAAACAGTACAATGAAACCGGACTTGTAGCAGAAAACAGAATCCAAAACTACATGGAGAAAACAAACAGACTGGTGGGGAAAAGTCCTTAACAACAGCAGTTGTCTTGGGGTGGTGGGTCATGGGTGAATTATTTACTTTTCCCTGCTTTGTTTTCTATAGATGAACATGCATGGCTCCTGTGATGGAAAAAATAAAACAAAATACAACAGTTATTTAAACCAAATGACACCACAGAGGGCAAAGGACTTACTTTGAAAAAGAGGTAGAGCCCCAGGAGTGTGCAGCTGGCGATGATGGGGAAGCGCGCGGCGTCTCGGCTGGTGATGGTTTCAGGCATGTCCGAGGCGTTCTGGAGGAGAGAGAGGCGAGGCTGCTGACCCAGGGCTGCAGGCCTGTGCCATAGCTGCACACTGGTGTGCACGTGCTGCCTCAATAACTCATTCGTCTCTTTCCCTCTCAGTTCTAGTGCTGTGATCTCAGCACCTTGCCACTGAGGAGAGCTGGGCTGGGACAGACGGACCAGGGAGAACCCAGGGCACATGTGTGGCCAGGGAGAAGAGCTACAGCTCAGACAGTTACAGCATGTGACAACCAAAAGGAAAAAACCCAGAGACCAATGACTCTAGAACAGCCCCAGACCTCATGAAGCAGGTCACCGTTTCCAACAGTCTTATGTGCAAGCTGAGAAGGAAATATGACTGGTGTTTTCATTAGGCTTGATGGTGCATACCTGTAGTCCCAGTACTCAGAAGGCCAAGGCAGGAAGATTACCAGGAGTTTGGGGCCAGCCTAGGCTACACAGTAAAGTTCAAAGCTAGCCTGAACTATACAGTGAGATCCTCTCTCAAAAAACAAAACAAAACAAAACAAAACAAAAGATTGGTGTTTTACACAGCAGGCAATGAGTATGATGAGTTGAAATAAACAAAACTGACAATGGCTACAAAAACTGCACATGGGAAGAAAGAGGCAGATCTTCAACTTAAGATCTGTGAGTGGAAGACATGAATATTACAGAAACGGAAGTCACAATTCCATGTATGGCAGATGCTGTAGTTGACAAGACTGATGTGGGTAAAGAGCTGATGAAGAATAAATATTTACAGGAAAAATAACTCAAATAAATGGAAATGAAAATAAAACAACAGGGTGACACGGGCATTAAATCAGCTTCAATAGAACTTATGATTTTAATGATGACTTACTGAAGTGCAATCCTGGTTTAAACTTGTAATCACAAGCTTCCAGGATCACTATACTTGCCTCCGTTAGGTCAAACCCTTAGTCTTCCAGGGGCCAGCAAACCTCACTGCCATTAAGGCCTTCACACTCTCAAATGTTCTGTCACAGCTACTGGAAATTTGGCAATGTCAGGTAAGATTTCTGCTCATGCTACAGCAGCCACACATTGGACACAGTGCCTGGAATTCCACTATCACCTGTCTATCTTGTGAAAAAGGCATGTGTCCCTGGGAAAAGGAACCACATTAGGTTGCAGAGTCTCACCAATACTTTGGCTCATACCTGGCTCTTAAACAACAGGAAAGGAGGGAAAGAAAGCTAAGAAGGGAGCTGTATGGAGACCCTGCGGGCCCTATGGCAACTGCAGATGGGGAGGTCACTAGGAGATGGAGGCGTGGGGAACCAGGATGTTTATAAGCCACTGGCTGGAGTACAAACCTGTCCAGCCTTTTGGGGAGGACATCAAATTTGTTGGATGCATCAAACCATAATTTGCACATGCTGAAGGTCAAACAGAGGATTCAGAGGAGAGGAACTACAATGGTCTTAATCATAGAAATGTTCATTCTCATTTTTCCCTGCAGTGCTGGCGATCAGACAGAGGCCTCGCGAGCTGTACTGCTGAGCTACATTCCTAGCCTTTCTCCTCTTTTTGAGACAGGGTCTCATAATGTAGTCCAGGCTGACCTTGAAATTGCAAATCCTCTGCTTCAGTTTCCCGAGTGTGAGATTACAGGTGTGTGCCACTATACCTGGCTCTCACTTCGCCTCTCACGCCCACCTTTTATTTTGCCTCTCACTATTAATAAGCTCAAATTAAGGCATACAGATATCCCACTTTTCATCTATCAGAACACTTTTGGCAACATAGAGTTGGCGAGTAGTTGGGCAAGAGACAGCAACTCAGTCATCCTGTAGAGATAATACTATATGGCAATGTACGTTAAAACCACAAATGCATACCCTTTGACTAAAGCAATTATACTTCTTGGAATTTTTCCTATAGATATAACTTACACACAAGCAAAGTGAGGCCTACAGAGCAGTGATGGCAAACCTTTTAGAGCTTTGATAACAGCCTACTGCAGCATACACCACTGCTACAAGAGTATATCCACGGCATTCACTGTTTTGTTAGTGGCTTGCTGCGTGCCAGAGGCAAGTTATTTGCTCTTCGAGCCTCAGATACTCATCTGCCAAACAGGACAGCAATATCTAGCTTCACCCATCTCAAAAAAAGACCAAGAAGCTTAAACCAAACAAGATATGGATAGGAAAGACCCCGGCAAACTGTAAGTTCTGTGATCACAGGAGTGGCTATGATTACCAGGGAGGACCGAGGGGCCCTTAACCAAACCCCCACATGTAAGGCTGAGTGGCCAGGGCTGGAAGTTCTAAGGCAGCTCAGTGCGATCACTCTCTTCTCCAGAAGCTCTGCCAGTAGGTAGGGGTGAGGGATACTGACAACCAGAGGCCCAGTTTCCTTCCTTTCCTCTTCTCCACCAGATCCTGGCTTCTGCTTTTTGTAGCAGTGTGTAGTGCTGGGACTTGGGCAAATGCCTCGCATGTTCTGTGTACCTCCACAAGTTTAGTACAGGTCGTTGAAGCAGCAGTGTGGGCATAAAATAAATCAGACAGTTCCTGACCTTGAAGAGTTCCCAGGCTGGGAGGCTAAGACCCTTCCAGGTAAAGAGTATTACAGTGCAGTGTGACAAGTGACAAAGCAGGCATATATACTAACACAATGTGTAGCATGAATGCCAAGTAGTTAGGCTTCTGAGGTCAGTAGGCTCAGGCAGATCCCCTGGTACTTTCTTGCCAGCTGTGGGTTTTGGGAAAGTGATTTTCTCTCAGAGTCCAGATTTCCCTGGCTGTAAAATGAGTTGTAAGGATTCCCACTATGCACTGGAAGCATTCAACATGGTGCCTGAGTAATCATTCAAGCTGTACTCACTATGGGTTAAGTAGAAGGAAACTAGGAGCAAGCAGGCAAGACTGTTTCTGTAGGAAATAAGAGCATCACAGGTGGTTAGAGCAGATGCCACTTAAGCAAGGCCCTGAATGCCAGGCACAGGGTCTGGTATGCAGTAGGAGCCAAGTAAATGGTGAGTTGAAGAGTTTGCTCTGTGTATGAGGAAGTGAAGGCAGAGACTTGGACACATGCAAGCTCAGGGCTGTGAAAGCACACACAAGATTCTTCTGACAAACCAGAATGATGGATCCTTTCACATATTCCTTTCAATTCTGCCCAGTACCAGGCAGGAGGAGGCTTTATATTATTTGATGACAAACCAAGGCTGGACAGATGCTCCACCAAACAGAGGAATCTGTTTCCTCTGCGGGTGATTTATACATACGTCATCCTGCAATGTGAGTCACAAGGGGAGACTTGAAATCTCACTGGCAATAATAGTAGTAGAGTAACATTTTACTGAGAACTTTCTGTGCACCCAGCAGGCTTCCAGTTGCCTTATAAACCCCTACAAGGCAGGTATATTTTACAGACAAGGAAAATGAGACTCAGAGAGGTGAAGAAACTTGCTTAGTGGAACACAGATGGTGAGTTGCAGAGCCAGGTTTCAAACTGAGGCAAAGCTTGCAGAGCCGAAGCTCGTGGCTACTATTTACTAGGTGACCTCTATTTTTCCTATCTGGAAATACCTATTGGAAAGTTGTGACAAGAAGATGCTCAAGAAGCCTGTGACCTTTCTGAGGAACAGAATCCTGAAGACAGAGAGTAATTTTTGCAGTTACAAAAATATTAAAAGTTATAGGATTTTTTTTTACCAATTCTATTTGGATTTTTAAAAAACCAAACACACTTATGTAAAAACAATAGCTCCTGGAACATAAAACATAAACGATGGAGAAAAAGGCTAACAGAAACAGCAGAAACAGGGCTGGGGATGTAGCTCAGTGGTGCCACACCTGCGGGACAAGTGCAAGGCCCTGAGTTCGATTCCCGGTATTGAAAACAAAACAAAATAAAAACACAGCAGAAATAAATTGAGCTGCCGTGACATTTGGATGCTCACTTTTTAGAGTGGGAGCAAAAGGAGTAAGGGGATACAGATGCCCAGCTTCTGGATATTGGTACAGTGACTAGGTCCAGGCCATGCCCTAGAAATGACCCAGTAGACCTGGACCATTTTGTTACTGTTACCACAGCCAGAGACTCCAGGCTCTCTTCTGCTTACACCTACATTCACTCACTCATCTTGCCCACCATCCCTAGCCTCCACAACCTGTCCTCAAGACACCTGCAACTGCCTTCTCACACTTCTGCCTTCCTGACCACCTGGCAGGCTGTGGGCTCTCTCTAAAGTGCACACCTGATTGTGCATGTATCTGCCTAAGAATCTCTGGGGAGTGGACTACTATGCACCCATTAAACAAGACGAGAGAAGAGAATGGACAAAGTATTTATACAAAGAATGGATATGGTATTTATGTAAAAGGGAGTACTACTCTTTCGTAAAGATGGACAAGTATGAGTCATTTGTAGGAAAATGGATGCACCTTGAGACCATAAATGTTAAATGAAATAAATCAGACACATCAGCTTAAGCATCACATAACTGCTATATGAGAAACCAAAAGTATAAATACTTAAAGAGCAAAAGAAAGATAGGTAATAAGAAATAGATCTTTGGTAAATGAGAAGGTGATCTTGAGATGGAGAGAAGAAAGGGAGAGGGGAGTAAAAAGAATTAAGATGTGTTAGGTACATGTACCTACTCCCTACAATGAATGTAATCATTATATACTACAAACATGTACTAATAAAATGGATACAATCTCTAGGGGGTCATTTTCTAAAATCTAAGTAAAAAAGCACATAGCCTTTGACCTGGTAAATTGATTTTGAGTAATTTTACAAATACATGAACAAATGTAAATAGTAAATGATCAAGGGTATTAATTTCAGCATGGTTTGTAATTGCCAAAGACTGAGATGGCCTAATTGGCTGCTTCTAAGTCAGTGCTTCTCAGTGTGCATCAGAACAACCGGAGGCTTGGGCTGGGGATTTAGCTCAGTGGTTCCACCACCTGCCTCGTAAGCACAAAATCCCAAGTTTGATCCCCCGTACAAAACAAACAAACAAACAACAAACAAAACAAACCATTTACTACCGGAGGCTTGTGAAACACACTACTGGGCCTCTCAAGCTTCTAATTCTGAGCCTGCAGTTCTCCTAGTACCTCAGGTGAGCCTGTGTCACAAGCCCAGGGGCTACCATTTGAGAACCAGTTCTAAACAAGCTGGGGGTGTGGGTGGGATGCTACACAGCTGTTACAGAAAACAGGACACACCACTTGTACTGCCATGATTGGATCTCCAATACATAAATAAATATAAAAAAAAGCAAAGTACAAAACAAATGTGTACACACATACATGGGCGCAATCAGTTATATATCAGAAATGCTTATTTACTTGTAAAGGCACAGCGTCTCTCCAGATGGTCATTTAAGAAACAGGCTACCAGGGCTTTGCTGTGGGAGGAAACTGGGCAGCTAGGACAGGAGACTTTCACAGTACATCCTGTGTAACTTTTGTACTTTGTACCAGGGACACACATTACCTATTGTCTCTGCTATAAAAAGGTGAAGTAGAGCTAAGAGAAAAATTAGACACACACACACACACTCTGTGTGTGTGTGTGTGTGTGTGTGTGTGTGTGTGTGTATATATTTTTTTTTTTTTTGGTGGCATCGGGGATTGAACTCAGGACTTGCAGGCAGGGCACCACTGAGCTATATCCCTGGCCCTACCAATATATATTATTAAAGAAAAAAAAAATCAAGTTGCAGAGTAATATATACTGTATAATCTTGTTTTTATAAAATATTTACCTATGTGTATGCATGTATATGTTTGTATATACATAGAAAATGTTCTGGAAGATGGGCTGGGGCTATAACTCAGTAGTCTAGTGTGTGCTACGATATAAAAAGCCCTGGATTCAATTCATACCACCATTACACACACACACACACACACACACACACACACACACACACACACAGAAGTGAGTTACTCCCAGGGAGTAAAAACGAAGAGTCCTTTTATGCTTTATATTTCTACACTGCTTGTATGTCGTATTTCCGTCACCACCAAGATTAAGTTGAGTTGCCTCTATGAGCTGTTCCTCAGAGACTGTAGACTCCCTGAGCACCTTGTCATGGCATCTAAACTCTGTCTTGGGCTCATGCCACACTCCTCATTGCCCCCTCTTCTGTTCTGCCTGCTGAACTCTCACCTACCATGCAGACAGCTGTTCACTCCCTCAGCCCCCACCCCAGAGGCACAGCGGAATTCAACCTTGTTGGCTAGCCATACAAGATGCCAGTTCTGGATCTTGCTGGTGACTGAGCTCTGGAAGGAAGACTTGGCCTTCTCAGCCTGGGCACATCTGGTACCCAGCCCAAAGCCTGCACAGAGATGACTGAGGGACTCCTCTGTAGTACAGGACAAAGGCTGTTGAGCCAATGTAACATGCAGCTACTGCCTGGGCCAGACTCACTACCTTCTGGGGACACAGGCCTCAGGGTGGGTGCTGCACTGACAGTGTTCCTGTTGGACTATGGCCCAACAGTCCACCCTGTTCCACCTTCTTCTCCCTAGTATTTCAGTGTGTCCTGCTTGTTGTAGACATTTTGACCCCATGGGAATTCTGTCCTTAAGTGCCCTGCTCAGTTGGCTTTCAGGGTGTGTCACTAGTGGAAATCTAAAACTTTAAGGTCCTCACACTAATTTCTTTCTTTGCCAAATGACAAGGGAAATGACTCAGGGTAGAAAAGGGAGTCGTTTGGCCTGTCTGTTCCCAAGCCAAAATACTGTTTCTGTTGGTCTTCAGGGGCACCTGTATCAAAGAGCCCCGGACTAGGACTAGGCACCTGGTTCAGCCCTTAAATGGCAGAGTGACATTCAGAAGTCATTGTCTGACCCTCAGTCTCTTTTTCTGTACAACAGATATAACAGGGCTGGGGATTTAGCTCAGTGGTGCTGCCGCCTGCCTCACAAGCGCAAGGTCCCAAGTTCAATCCCTAGTACCAAAAAACAAAACAAAACAAAAAAACAAACAAACAAAAAAAAACAGAGCTAATAAAATTGGCAGTGCCTTACCACACTCAGGTGCTGTGTGCATCCAAAGGAGTAAAGCTTTTGTAAGCTTTAAGTACCCTGGTTATTGGGTTGGGAGCTACCAACAAATAGGTCCTGTTGGTAATTTCAATCTTTCAGCCTGCTGGCCTGCAGACACTTGGAGGTTGATATTAGAGCCTAGGCTTTCTTCTACTCACACCCCTCTACTCCAGCTATACCAGACCATCTGCTGCTTCATGGACTGCCTCAAAACTTCTGGCCTTCACAACCTCTCCTTTCCTGGTTTCCCTGCTTAGAATGCCCTCATCTGGCTGGGACTCTATCTCTAGCTCCTCTCCCCAACCCTCTCTGCCCTGCTCCACAGTGCTCAGCCTTCCACTGTGAAGCCTGAAGCACAGCTTGCAGTATAGTGGAAGACCTAGTTTCCCTTCCCCAATTGAACTCCTTGGTGACAGGGCTTTCACCTACTCATTTCTGTAGTATGCCCCCACCCTAGACAATGGCAGGAACACTGCTGCCTAGCAGGTGCTCTCTGAAGAGACTAGTGATTCATGTGCAGAAGATGCCAAGGAGGGTTACTCAGATCGAGACTCTCAGATTGAGCCCCCAGCCTCATGCCAAGCTGACCTTTGCCTCCTTTGTCCTGTCTACCTCAGAACTTCTCTCTGTACCAAGTGTCTAGCTGATGGCTAACAGCTCCAGAAAAGAGGCTAAGTCCACCTATACTCTTACAAGAGGCAGAATAGAAAATAAAACAAGCTCACATCAGAGCCTGTCAGCCTAAGCACCACCTGACTGCTCCTCTTTACACTTGACCACAGAAAGCCAGCAGTGGTTTCTCTACTTTTTGGGAAAAGGTGGTAATCCTTAGCCACTGTACAAGCCGGGTAGTGTTTTGAGAACCTGGGATGCGGCGGTTTCAGAAGTGGCAGCTGTTTTATGTTTCTGCCTTCTCTGCATAAGACAGTTTGTGCTTGAGCCCATCCTCAGGTCTGATGGGGGAGGAGCAGCAGGGAGTGGACTAAGAGGCTGTCAAGGAAGGGAAAAAGTGCCAGGAAGGGAGAAGTCATTGGTCCAATGAGCTGCACAGGGCTTAATATAGGGAAGAAATAGGGGTAAGGAGGGTGGGAGAGGGAAGCAGGAGATAGAAGATGCTAGAGACCTCTTAGGTATCATCAATAGGACAGATGCTGAGGAAGGCCAAGGATGGAGTCTGGCTGTCTCAAAGAGATATCAACTATGGCTCAGTTACTCTGCAGGTAGGCCCAAATTGGTGAGGGGACCATTTTAGGGGAATGGGGAGAAAGGCTAATTGAGGTAAGGTCATGGTGAGGGGTGGGGACAGTGTTAGAGGTTAGGAACAGGGTGTGGGCCCAGAAAGTGAAGCAAAAGACTGGAGGTTGATCTGGGTCTGTATTTCACTGTTTCAGGTAGGGGCAAAGGGCTGGGAGTTCTAGATGAGCACACAGCTTGAGCTGAGTGTGGTGAGGCAGGAGTCAGAGTCTAGAGATAGATCTGGACGCCAGAATTAGCTGTGGGATGGAGCATGAACCCATCACTGAACTCTGAGGACCAGCACCCATCAGGTACAGGCTGAGGCTGGTCTGACTGGGCCCAGGAGGCCCGGAATAATCAGTGCCCAAGTCGCAGTGTGAGGGTCCGTTGACAGTGTTCTTACTGAGACATGATGCACACAGAGGGCCGTGTCAGGGTCCGAGTGAGGTCAGAAACGAGACCCTATTTGATGAAAGTGTCGGTTCCCAGATCCCCGGATGACACAGACCAGCCCCAGGCGCGGGCGCAGGTGGCGACGACCCACGCTAAGAAGTGGCCCAGGGAAGGAGGTGTCTGTCCCGCTCAAGAAGGGTCTGCAGGGGAGGGTCCGCGCCAGCCGTGTCCAGGATGGGGGTGGGAGCGCCCGGCTCTGCCGGAGGCCCTACCTTGCCGCGGGAACAGCGCACGGAGCGCAGGGCGCCGAAGAAGATGGGCAAGAGCGCCATGAGTAGCAGGCTGCCGTAGGCCAAAGCGATGCCCTCGGGCGTGGAGGGCGGCCGCGTCGTGCCGTTGGCCGCACCGCCTGTCTCTACGCTGCCGTTGTGCGGGTCGCTGAGGGCCGAGTCCATGGCGAGGATGCGCTCGGGCTCCGACTCCAGCTCCGGCCGCGC